TTGATTTATATAAACCAATTTGAAAATAAAACTAGCAGTTATTTTGTTGAGCTTTCCTTTTCCCCATGGAGAAAACTGAACCCCAGAAATAGCTGTAATTGGCCAAAGCTAAGACTAGAAAATCAATATGCTTACTCAGGTCAAAGCAGTGTTGTTTAGATTTTGTTCTATTTCAATGTATCTTTTCAGATTGTGTGATACGGAAAGAATCACCAAATGTACAAGGTAGATATATAAGTGGTATTATGTAAGTGACAGTGAAGCACTACCAGAACTCTGAGAGTTAATGCACCGATGGAATTTATCCACCACATGGTGAATGACACCCTAGAGCTACAAACGCCCTCTTAGAGATACACATTATCACAATCCCAAAGCAAAGGTAGGAAAACAAAACCTTATGTATTTCTTAAATCAGTTTTGAGACAACCATACAGATAATATATCTAAAGAAGGGAGATCTTTTAGCAGAGAACATTAAAAAAAAAAGTACTGTTAGGCATGCTGGACTGTTCTAATGGGACAGCTCTTTTGTTATTCGTTTTCTATGGTAGTTGGTTTTGGTTGTAGGCAGAGACGCAGTAGGTTATTTTACTAGTATGTCACTAGCTATTCATCTCTTCCATTTGACTCTTCTTGATTCATTTTTGTGATCATCATTTGGCATCCTGTACAGCTTTTCTACATCGTGAGGCCCATTTCAAATGGCAATTGCTTTCTCAATGAGAAGAAATAATTATCACCTAGATAGATAAATTATTACGTGTTTGACTAGGAATTGATCTCTTTAAATTTAATTACTGAGAGAAGTAGGTATACTAGAGATGTTGGAATAGCTGAGTATGTCAGAGAACAGGAGCATTAGACCAGGTCAGAGAACACCAAGAACCTACTTAAAGGATTCTAAGATAGCCTAGGAGGGCCTGAGAATGAAGTCTGGGACTCCTTCTCTGACCAGCAAGGACAAGAGGTGTCCTGGGTCTGGTATTCACTGAAAAATGTGCCCTTTGTCTATTTTTTAAAGTTGTGGAGCAGATGTGGATTTACGAAAACAACATTCTGGGCAAATTCAAGGTCAGAATCAGGGATATTAGTAAAAAATTACTCTCTAAAAATAAGACTAGGTTAAGAGAAGTAACCTCTATATAAAGATAAAATCTTCAAATGAAATTGGGCAGAGGAAATTTCTAGTTTAATATATGAAAAAGAAAAGTATACATAGTGCTAAGAAAATAGGTAGAATAATAACTATTGCAGCTCTTCCATTTTTCTACATATTGAACACTTACCCATGGAACTCTGTTATTATAGGTGTATATGTATATCTGCAATAATAGTTATTATAGATATATATATGTCACTATTTTTAAATAGTTCTGACTCATAATAAATACTTAATAGATGCAAAATGCAGAGAGATGTGTCTATGGTTCTCTCAGCTGCTGACTTATACATACTCAAAACTTTTAAAGAGGTCAAAGTAGAACAGATGGCAGCCTGGAAATAACTGAAAATAACAGGCCACAAACAAATGAAGGTATAAAACTGGGCCAGTACATAATTAGACCAGATTGGAATGATTACAATATGACCCAAGAAGCCAGCTTCAGGCCTCAAGGCTTAGACAAAACAACCAATTATGAGTGAAGATGAAATGAACAACATATATATTTCTTTATTTTCCACAGTGCTTCCTTATCAGTTATATCTGTTAAGTTTCATGTATTAAAATTTCATGGACAAGGAGTCCGACTAAGAAAAAAATAGGGTAATTTGCCTAATATTAAGAAAATTATGGGCCGGGCGTGGTGGCTCATGCCTGAAATCCCAGCACTTTGGACGGTTGAGGCAGACAAATCACTTGAGGTTGGCAGCTCAGAACAGCCTTACCAACATGGGAAAACCCAGTCTCTACTAAAAATACAAAATTAGCCAGGCATGGTGGCGCATGCCTGTAATCCCAGGAGACTGAGGCAGAAGAACCGTTTGAACCCGGAAGGCAGAGGTTGCAGTGAGCCGAGTTTGTGCCAATGCACTCCAGCCTGGACAACAAGAGAGAAACTCTGTCTCAAAAAAAAGAAAGAAAGAAAAGAAATATAAAAGAAAAGAAAGAAAAGAAAATTATTTGAGAAAAAATATTAGCTCTATTGTCATAGAGAAATAATATAGAAAAAATATTCATTAATTCCACAAATATTAAGAAAAGCATCTTAGTAAACAAGACAAATTAACTCCCTTCCCTTATAGATATTTCTCTAGTATGAATATAAAAACACAGTCATTTGAATAAGAATTGCCAGTTATTTGCTAGATGACATTTATTGAGCAGAGTGAGGCTGGGAAAGGGGATAGTTCTCTGATAATTCCTGCTAGTTAAGCATGAATTTAAATTCATACTTAGCTAACTATTTTAAAATTCTATTGTAGAAAACGAATCCTTGTTTTTTTCTATTATGGACCTCATCAAAAGCTTGAGAACCATTTAAGGGCCTTACATTCAGAGACAATCATCAGTTAAAAATCTTATGTTATTTGAAGCTGCCTAGAGTTGAATGTCTACAAAATATGATGTTTGGGGGACCATGTGGGTTTGGCAGTGGAGAGTTATGGCAGAAATGCATTGTACAGGTTTACTGAGATGGGTAGCTCCTTCTGAATGTTCCGAAGACCTTGCAGAAAAACAATGGCAAACTTGGGTGTTTAAAATAGACATTTTCTATGACAGCTCTACTATGTCGACATAGGATTTCATGAAACCAAATTCAAAGTTGTACTCAACAAGTGTCTGAATTACAATGTTAATTGAACTTATACCTCTTCAGGTCTCTTATGTTCAGATCAGAAATAAATGGGACTCTAATAATTGGTATTGAGATCTTAAATCCCAAAATCCCAGGGGTGAAGAAAGAAATCTTTTCTCCCTATTGGAGGAGATTGCTTCCCTGAGACCAAAGATCTTAATAATAATTCTCCCAGAGGCAGCTGCCTTGCACAGGCAAGTTGAATCTCCTTAACACTCACTGTATCCCACTCACTTTTCAAAACCTATGTTGAGACACAAATCCAAATAGATACCAAGGAGCATAAACACAAAGTCTGAGAAGAGTTACCAGGCATACAAAAATATTACAAAATTTACCAACTCACATATGTAGAAAACTGGGAAATATGTGTAGAATGAACTCCAAAGACATTTGAAGAAGGCAAGGAGAATGTAAGGTTGGATCAGCATGACAGTTGCCAGAGTTTTGGGATTGAATGTTTATGGAAGCAGCGTGAATGAAATCCAGATTTAATGGCAACACTGCTTCCATTGTTTCAGTCACACCCTCCCACTCCTGCCACTGGATTGCTTTAGCCATATTTTGCTGTTTTTGCATGTTTTGTTGAGTCTTGGAAATTCTTGTTCTAGTCTCAGGATTACTGAATCAGATTTCCTGTTGGAGATATTTTGACTACATCCATATTCTATTGGAGGTCTGAGAATTGCAGGTTGTTTCTCAGCAGGCTTTCTCATGCAAAAATCATTACAAGAATATGCAGGTGTTATGATTTGTGAAATGTCTTTAAGAAATGTTCTTTTAAATGATTCTATTTTTTCTCTAGTTCTATTTTCTGTGTGTTTTAACTATAAAGAGTAATAGTGGATTTATTCTGCTATCTTTAATACATCATATTTTAAATAAGACAACAGTGGCTTAGTGAGATTAAATATTTTGATCAAATGCACACAGCAGCTGAGATTAAAAACTTGTCTGTCTGGATCCATATTTTTATTAAAAAGAAAATAACCCTGCCTTTAGCCAGGGGATGAAAGCTTATATGCCACCATGTGACAAGACTAGGGATCTTACTACACTTTTTGGCATGAACGTTGGCAATGAGAAATGTCCTAACCTCACAAATAATGCCGTCTAGCCCAGCATCTCTAAACTTGCATTCATGCTGGGACTTAACTTCCATGCTTAATAAGATTAAGAAGAAGGTATTTGGAATTAAAGTAATGCTAGTGACACAGTGACATCAAAGTTAGAATTTCTTGTTTCAACTCTAGCTTATCTACTTATTTATTTTATAATACAACTCTTCGCTGTTGCTTTCTACTATATCTTAGTAGCAGCCAAATATAAACATCATAAATTATATAGGCAAATCCACCTTTATCTGTGACTGTTATCCACACTACACGAAGCAGCATGGATTTGAAGAAACATGATGCAAATGGAAAAAACACCTGACTGCTTTTTAGCTTTGCTTACCTCAGGCTCAACATTTTTTAACTCCTGTTTTAATGTCTGTAAAATGAGAGTAACATTCTGCAGGGTTGTGGAAGATTAAATATGCTTGGTATAAAGCACTCACACAACATTAACACTGGACTACATATATAATCTTGGGCACCCTGACCTTTTGGAATTTGTTTCCTCAACTTCTAAACATAAACAGTGACACTTATGCAGAGAGTGTTGTTGTGAACATTAGATGAAATGCAACCTGCACTCTCATGAACTAAGTGTAAAACTGATATAAATGCCCATGAGTGTCTCTACCCAACTCACAAATCTTTCAAGAGGAAGTGAAAAAGTAGAGCAAAATATTAATTTAACCCAGAGGGGATTATTTTTATTAAGTGTTGTCTCCAAATGATGAGATTTAAATGTCATTCCTGAAGCAGGTGTAGTTAGAGGTCTTGCTGATGATAAAAGCAAAACATACAGTAGATGCAGTAGACAATAGAGTACTTCACAAGCAGTGCCCCTACAATGGAAAAAACTCTACAATATATCTATTAGGGGATCCAGAAAGAGTACGTAGGTACTTTCCTTGTGTCCCAACCCGCGGGACGAGCAACGGAGACCCTAGGGAGGGACTGGGGATTAGAAGAGAAAGACAGGAGACGCGCAGAATGGACAAGTCAAGGATCTGATCAAGTCTCGTTTATTAGCTACAAGGCGGTTGCTTATAAACAAGTAAAGGCGGGAAGTTCTGAGGGCTGAGGTCAGAGAGTAACCATGGAGACGGGAATGTGAAACTTAAACAATAAGGGAAGCCCACAAGATGGAGGTTTAGGTAAGAGGAACAAAAGCTTAAGCAACATAGTTACAAGATGGCTACTGCTCCCCACATCCTTGCCCTTTACGAAGTAGTTAGGAGGTAAAGTGGACATTTTTATAACATTTATGACAAGCAATATGGCAAATTATATCACAAGCCTTCAAGAATGTATTACCTTTAACCCAAGAAACATTTGTCAGTCACTGAAAAAAAAAATCAAGCTTTTATGCACAGATTCACCTCAAGGTAACTAAATACAATTATTATAAAATTTAAAATATTACAAATGTTAGAACCTAGAGTGTAACATAAATATCCATACTTCGAACTGAAATAAATCAATAATTAACTGAACATATAAGTAGGGGAGAATAAACAAATTTCCCATGTGGAATAATTCCAAATAATTTGTTACCTCAGAAACTAGCTTGAGCAATGATCAAGGTTCACATCGCTGGTGACAAGTTATAGTAATAGTATAGATTTTCATATGAAGTGATGGAATGGCATTTTATCTCTGTGGTCTTCCTCCCAAAAGCCCGTTACTCTAGTCTAATCATAAGACAATAATCAGACTCATTTCACTTCAGGGACATTATTATTTACAAAATAACTGACTAGTTTTGCTCCACATTGTCAAGTTCATCAAAAACATGCGAACTCTGAGAAACCATCACAATTATTAGTCCTGTCTGTTTAGGGTCTGAATAAGAGCCTAAATACTAAATACCACATACTTAAAATAGTACATAAAACATTACATACTAAATGTAATGCTGCATCCTAGATGCGGGTCAAGGAACAATAAAAAGATATTAGGTAAGGCCTAAGGAAGTTAGGATAAAAATGGACTTTGGTTAACAGTAATAATAATTCAATATTGGTAACTAAATACAATAAATATACCTTAATAGTATCAGAAGTTACTAAGAGGAGAAACCATGTATGTGGAAATTCTGTACTATCTTCACAAGAATTCTGTGAATCTAAAACTGTCCTAAAAGAATAAAGGTTATGGTTGGACGTGGTGGCTCATGCCTGTGATCCCAGCACTTTGGGAGGCTGAGGCAGGTGGATCACGAGGTCAGGAGATCAAGACCATCTTGGATAACATGGTGAAACCGCGTCTCTACCAAAATTGCAAAAAAATTAGCTGGGTGTAGTGGCATGAGCCTTTAGTCCCAGCTACTTGGGAGGCTGAGGCAGGAGAATCGCTTGAACCCAGTAGGCAGAGGTTGCAGTGAGTGGAGATTGTATCACTGCACTCCATCCTGAGGGACAAGAGTGAGACTCCTTCTCAAAAAAAAAAAAAAAAGGTTATTAAATAATAAGAGTTAGAAAAATCAAATTATAAAAAATAGTCTGTTCACTAGTAGAAAAAATATTTGTTTTCCAAATGTTTAGGAGTGATAAATCTGTACTGTAGCATTATGAATAATTTTAAATTATCACATATATATACAAATGCAGAAACAGAATTTTAGTTCAGAAAATCTATACTATAAAATTATGAATAATTGTAAATTTTCATATCTATAAACACATAAATAGGATTTTGTTAGTCAAGAAGCTTAATAGCATCACTAACTTTGACCTGTCAAGTCAGTTTACAGGAATTTATTCTAAGGAAAAATAAAATATAAGTATAAAGAATATGCTCCTATAAACTTTCTATAACCTTAACAATCAGAAATAATATAATGTCACAAAATTTTGACTTTTTAAGGTAATACATTGAGGAAAGACAGTTATTAAAAATTTGTTTTCAAAAAAATACACAAATTATGATCAAGAAGAATGCGTTCAACAATTTTAAGATGCAAAGAGCATTCAAGTATATATACTAAATACAGTGAAAAATGTGTACATATTCATATTAAGAAAAGAGCATAGAAGAAAAGATAATGTTTTGCCCACCTAGCAGCTTGTCAACCTTTCCTGGTTTGCTTATATCTCAGTGCCCTGAGGGAGGGAATCTGACATTACAGATTTATTTTAAAGGCTTCCAGAGGGTTTGGCCAATGGGATGTGCTGGTGGGAGACTGGAAGGTCAGAAGGGAGGTAAGGCCAAAGTCACCTCTTCCCTTCCTTTTCTGCCTTGCACAACATCTCAAGTTGCCAGTAGATCTCCTCTAAATTCTGGTTATGCTGGGGCCCTGGGCTCCAATAAAACCTGCCCCTTCCCTATATCCCTCCAATCTAAGCATAATATTATCTTTTGCTATTTTTAATCTTATGTTAGCTTAAGATCTGCTGTTTGAAGCTCTTTCATTTTCTGTGTAATTCATCCTGTGCATTGAATTCCTTCTTTTTAAATACTCAGGGTTAATTTTATTTGTTTGATTGTGTCCCTACTTACATAAAAACAAAAACACACTTGTTAATTTGGAGTGATCTGTTTGTTGATGTAAGTTCAAAAATAGTATCATTGAAGACCCTATCATATTTAACAATCCATTGTTTCTCAATAAGATTTTGGAGTATTTCTTCTGTCAGAACTGCATGCTGTTCTCATCTGTAAGTATGCACAGTTATTGTAGATGGTTCCTTTCTCATTAGCTGTTATGCTAGCTATTATATTCACACACACACACACATACACACATCCATATGTATATATATATATATTTATGTTAAGAATTCTCAGCGTAGACTTATTTTTCTTCCTTTTGATAGACTATTGAGACAGGTGCAAATCTCCTCTGTCTCTGAAGTATAGAAATTTTTTAAAGCTATTTTCCTTATTGTTGTATATCCTTATAGGTATATAAGAAATATGTGTATATTATACACATTTATATGTAATAGAAATGGATATGTTTTGATTACTTATATCAAACAACTTATTCTTCTGCAATACAGTTTTATTTTATACTCTAGGATTCTGAAAAATGTCTGTCCTGCCCCTCACCTGCCAATCAATTTTCAATATAAAGTGTAGTTTAAGAATATAGGCTTGGAGTCAAAGATATATAAATTTGAGTACAAGTTTGGGCACTTTGTTTATGAAGCACTTGGTAAACAAAAAGAAACCATCTTCATATTTGACTTCTACATATATAACATGATAAATTCTATTAGTAGATATCCTAATATTGATCCATTTTTATGCCTCAGAAAGAACTAGATACATTAATTTCTTCTAGTTAAAATGCATATTTGTTTTTTTAATTTATAATAGCTTTTCTGTGTCAGCATATATTCTGTAAAAGTCATTCACACATGTTTAAGATGGTAGAAAGCCTGTAAGTTATTTGATGCCTGCAAAACTGGCTCCACAGATGTTTCCTGAGGCCTCTGTGTCCCTTGCATCAGTACCTTTTTCTGCAGGGACATCAGGACATGATTTCTTTACATCAATTGTAACTACTCAATATTAAACATTCATTCTTCCAAGTACTTATTGAATACTTAATCAGTGTCAAATATTGTTTTAGGCATTGGGAATACATCAATTAAAAAATACCTTAAAACTTTTTAGACTTCAGACATAGAGATGTGCACCGGTCTCTAAGTCTATCAAGAGGAAGGAAAAAAAGTCTACCCTGGGAATTCTTAAACACATACTCAAGTTTGTTTGATAACTGAATTCACATTATCAACATGATCTTACCCTCATACATAAAAATGGAAAATTAAGTTTAGAAAAAGTCTCAAAGTCATGTCAAAGTAATCAAATGCATTTTTTAAATCTAAAGACAAACATTGATTACTGGATCTAAAAATAAAGTTCCATTAAATATAAACTCATAGTTTCATAATTTTAAAAAATGGTGGGTAGGTTGTCAAGGTAGAAGCCCCTTACCCCCATGAACTATGGTAACATACTGCAAACCAAATCTCAAAACTCTGTACTTATCAGACTTCTCAGACATAAAATATTAATATTTCAAATTATGTTTTAAATTACATAAGCAATGAAACAGAACAGAAAATTATCAGAAGAGGGCAGGTACATTTTAAAATTTAAAAAGAACTTCTAGAAATTAAAAATTTAATATATGACAAATACAGTCATTGGATTAATTAAATGAGCAAATAAAAAATAAATTAGAGCAGAAAAAGTATTTTAGAATGTAGCAAAAATAAAAACATGAAAAAATCAAACAAATGGACAATTAAGTAAGAGTCTTTAGGGTATTATTAAGTAGAATCCAAAGGGAAAGCAAATATAGAGGCAATAAACAAATAGAAATTTACTATATTCCAGAACTGATAATAATAAGCAACTCTGAAATTCATAAAGTTTAGTCAAGTTTAAGCAAGATAAATAGAAAGAAATTCATAAATAAGAAGTTTACTACAGTTTATAAGAAAATAACCTTGGAGGAACAGCAACTAAAATTATATCAATATAGATAATGAAAATGCATGAGTTTTAGAGCTATTTTAAAATGTGAAGTGCACACAACTATATGATAATTTGAACATGGAGTGTTAGAAGGAGTGAGGTACCAAAGGTGGAAGTTAGGTTTGCCACTTGCTTCACTGACTGGATGTGGAAACTATGCTCTGATATGAGAAACAATGGGAAGGAGTTGAATCTGGTGTGTAAAGCAAGAGAACAAAGCAAATAAATAAGGGTCTAGGAGTATTCTCTTTGAGGTGCTTATATTTATTCAAATTGAGAAATCAAGCAGTCAGGTAGCTAGACCAGTAAGGGATAACAAAAGGAAGCTCTCAAGTGTGGATTTGTATTTGAGAGTAATTAGCATCAAGCTGGTGATTTAAGTGTTGGGAAAGCATAAGGCTGTGTGGAAACAGATTATAGAGAAGGAGAGTTGAGGGTCTGGGGAAAAGTGTTAAGGGACTCTAAAATTGAATGGCTAAATGTAGGAGAAGCCTATAAAAATCATAAAAAGGGAACAAACAGAGATGGATAAAACAGTGACATTTCATTCTGGTTAAACCTGGAGTGCATGGTGTAACTGAATCCAGGTGTGTTTTGAGAAAGAATAAATAGAAAAATCAATATAAGGAATGAAAAAGATGCCCTTTGGATTTAGCCAGCTGGA